TTATAACCTTTTGCCTCTCCAGGGAACGCGCCCAGCTGATGATGATGGAGAAGAAGCTGCGCTGTGAGGTGGAGGAGCTCCGGGGCCAGCTGAAGCGGCACCAGGAGGCGGAGCGGCGCGGTGACCGGCGGAAGGTGGCCGACGAGGAGGTCGCCCGGCGGGTGGCCACCTTCGAGAACGCCATCGCCCAGCTGCAGAAGAGCGTCGCCAGCAGCAAGCAGGACGAGGAGGCGCTCCTGAGTGAGATGGAGGTCACCGGGCAGGCCTTTGAGGACATGCAGGAGCAGAACAATCGGCTGATGGCGCAGCTAAGGGAGAAGGACGACGCCAACTTTAAGCTGATGAGCGACCGCATCAAGGCGACGCAGATTCAGAAGATGCTCAAGGATGAACACGCGTTGCTCACGGAGCAGGTCTTTGCGCTTGGGGTGAGTACTTGGCATTGTTGTGCTTTCTATTTTTTAGATGTGATTAATTTTTCCTCTTCTTCCTTAGAACCAACTGGAGGCCCAGGTGGAGGTGGTGCGGAAGTTGGAGGAGAAGGAACGGATTCTCCTGGCGCAGATCGCCTCCATGGAGAAGGAGGTCGCCCTGCGGACGCAGGGCATGGAGTCCTACAAGCGGAAGGCCGTGGAGGCGACCCAGCAGACGAACGACCTGAAGCTGCACCTGGACAAGTACGTCTCGCAGATCCGGGACGCACAGTCGATTGTGGCGGACAAGACCAGCGCCTGGCAGAATGAGATGTTCAAGACGAAGCGGCTGCATGAGGACCTGCAGAGCTACAAGCGAAAGTACGAGCGGGCGAAGAAGTTTGAGATGGCCACCACGGCGGATGAGGTGCTTCAGGTGAGTGTTTTGGGGGATGAGGTTTTCTTATGTGGTGCACTTGATCCTAATTCCTCCTCTTCATTTGCACAGGAGGAAATTCGCGAGCTGAAGGAGGAGCTGACCTGTCCCAGCTGCAAGACGAAGCGGAAGGACGCCGTGCTGAACAAGTGCTTCCACGTCTTCTGCTACGACTGCCTGAAGACGCGGTACGAGACGCGCCAACGGAAGTGCCCCAAGTGCAACCAGTCCTTCAGTGCCAATGACTTTCACCGGCTGTACCTCGCATAACCACCACTTTCCCTTCCGTTTCTGGAACAACACCTGCGGAACACACCCACAACCTCTCCTACACTGCTGCTTACTACTTTTACTACTACTTTACTGCATATTATTATCTCTCCTCAAACTCAATCTCAGCTGCATTTCACCTTCAGCTTCATCACCCCCTCCCCTCTCCTTTCTTATCCTCTTCACCACCCGCTCCTTGTAATTTAATTTAACTTCACTTCATTTTTAGGCCTCATGATCTACCTGCTGATGATAACATTGAAAACACTGTCACTGTTCTCTCTTTTGTTTGTATCCATCCTCCTCCTCCTCATTCTTTTCATTACCTTCATTTTCATCCCCTCCTCCTCCTCCTCCTTATTAAACCCACTGTAGTGTGAAATGAACTGTTACCACTACCACCACCACCACACCACCACCCTTTAACCTCCACTTTAGTGCTGAACACTTGTTTCCCAACTTAGCGATATATTTTCACCTTTTACCTCTTTTCTTTACTCCTCCTATTTTGTTTCTCATCACCTCCTACTGTTCCATCAACATTATCATCATCATCATCATCATCATCACCATCACCATCACTTGCATCATCATCAACCGAGGAAACAAACCCGCAAAATGCACACCGGTTCACATCTAAACAACAACAACTACTACTGAAACACTCCTCCTCCCTGCCCTGATTACCCGCTAATAGAAAGAGTTGGTGAAAATAAAAGCCCACACACACTGGTATTTAGTGAAAAATTCGAAACCGAAATCAGATCAAAGGTGGTTCTCTCACAACTCCAAAAAGGATTCCTCTTCTTCGGCGTTGAGGAAGATGGCGCCAGGCTGCTGCTGCTGCTGCCGCACTATCTCACTTTGACAGAAGCGGTGGCCTTTTTCGCTGCTGCCGTCGTCGAGTGTACTAGGATGCAGTGTGACACACAGGAAAGGAAAGGAAAGCAAGAAGAGGAGCCAGAAGAGTAGCCCGTTATCAGCTGGCCGCAGAGAAGGAGAGAACTAGATTGCGGCTGCTGCTGCTGTTGGCGCCCTCGCCCACACACTCACGCACTCATTCAGGCACTCAGGCAGATTGGGCGCCACGCAGCAGCTATTTGTGGTGGTGGTGGTGGTGGTGT